AGCCTGCTGATTTTACAATAAAGTAACACCAGCATACCGATAAGTCATCAGCTCTGCTCTCTCTGCACTCTCCTTCTGTCTGCATGTTCCCTGTCAATACATGTGCCTTGCAGCAGAGCCTGATTGGCTCCCAGCTCTGCTCTCTCTGCACTCTCCTTCTGTCTGCATGTTCCCTGTCAATACATGTGCCTTGCAGCAGAGCCTGATTGGCTCCCAGCTCTGCTCTCTCTGCACTCTCCTTCTGTCTGCATGTTCCCTGTCAATACATGTGCCTTGCAGCAGAGCCTGATTGGCTCCCAGCTCTGCTCTCTCTGCACTCTCCTTCTGTCTGCATGTTCCCTGTCAATACATGTGCCTTGCAGCAGAGCCTGATTGGCTCCCAGTGCTGCCCCTCCCTCTTCTAGCGTGAGTACTGCTGTATAGGGTGCAATAGTCTTTCATTTAGTTGTATAGATAAATGCATTTAATCATTTTTAATAATAGACAACTGCAATAAATGTGTTTTTTTCATCTGCCTGCCATTAAAAAAGTGCCACATCCAAAAGAAGGAATATAAACTGACAAAATAATTATCCCCCTTCTAAAAAAATTCCAATTGACTAGTTTGAAAACTTCAAATCAATGATCTGCACGCTCCCTATAGAACCAAATTGCTTTGCACCTGGAATCTCCTGACGTGCCAGGTTTTTTCTCCCTCTACGTGATCTGACAAATTGGACATTTTAATTATAGAGCGTCCTCTCCTTTTTTTTAATCTCCTGCTTGCAGTGGAAATAGATATTATTTCCAATATGTGTTGCAGTATTGCAAAATAGGCATGGCATTTCCCAATCCTCAAATTTGCTGTTTTGGAGAAATAATCTCCCCGGATTAGTTTTCTGGAAAAAAGATTTCACATACAAGTCAAGAAGATGAAGAGCTGTGATTGTGGGTAAGTGATGGTGTGACAGCCCACCACACATCGCTCCCCTCCACTGCCACTCTTTTCTCTCTCTCTCTCTCTCTCTCTCTCTCTCTCTGGATGGTGGGCTGGACTCTGCTCCTGAACAGGCGGCTGACATCACGGAAAAGCTCAGTCTTTGATCACTGGTGCCTAATATAAACCAGAAATGCTGAGAAAGTCTTAGAGATAGACAGAGAGCAAGAGAGGACTTAATCCATCCTTCTCCCTGTGTGCCCCAAATCCCTACTGTGTGCAGAAAGTGCATCCTACCCATAAGACAGAGCAAACTTTACCGGTAAGTGATGTCTGCATGGCAAATGATTGGGAATAGATTGACGTATATATTATATTATAGAATAGTGCTGTCATGTGTGATGTGCATTGATTGATCACATAGAACTCTTTAAATGTCCACAGACAATCTGGTGCTGGGTTCCTTCAGGAGTTGCTAGGGGTTCCTTCAGCTGTGGCACACTGATCTTTCACCTATACTGATCACCAATGAAAGGGGGCAATTTCCTACTGACATCCAATGTAAGGGGGTCACTTCTGCACTGATCACCAATGTAAGGGGACAATGTCCTACTGACATCCAATGTAAGGGGTCACTTCTGCACTGATTACCAAAGCAGGGGGCAATTTCCCACTGACATCCAATGTAAGGGGGTCACTTCTACACGGATTACCAATGCAGGGGGCAATTTCCTACTGACATCTAATGTAAAGGGTCTCTTCTGCACTGATTACCAATGTAGGGGGACAATTACCTACTGACATCCAATGTAAGGAGTCACTTGCACACTGATCACCAAGTATGGGGGCAATTTACAACTGACATCCAATGTAAGGGGTCATTTCTACAATGATCACCAATGTAAAGGGGCTTTTCTCCACTGATCACCAATGTAAGGGATCACTTACCACCAATGTAGGAGGGCATCTTTCCACTGACATCCAATATAAAGTGTTACTTCCACACTGAATACCATGTAAAGGGGCTTTTTTCCACTGACCACAAATTTAAGCGGTCACTTGCACACCGATTTAGTATCTACAGCCTCTGAATGTTCATTTCTGATTGGTTGCTCTGAGTTATACGATGAGTTATAGCACATCTTTGATTTTTGCATTATTTTATAGGAAAGCTCCACACTACATAAGCTATATCTTTTAAACTGGATGGTTTAAATGATATCATTTATAAAATGCTTCATACATTGTGCAGAAAGGACCATGTTCCTCAATAATTGAAATTAGTTGTCAGTCGCTTGTCATATTTATTTATTAACATGTATTTTATTCAATATGATTTATACTGTATGTATGTATACCATGATTGTCTTAAAGCTGTGTAGAAGATTTAAGTAATATTTAAGCCTTTAACTATTTCGAGAGGATTCATAGACTTTATTTGATGAAGGAACCAATCAGGAAATGTCTTTCATTGTTGTGCTTGGGGAGAAGACCGATCTGATCTCTATGGGTAACTGGGTCTTATTGCTTACTTTACGCTTACTGGCTCAATATTCTTCTTTTGTTAACATCATAAAAGTTTTTGGATGATTTATACATTTTGCAGCACATTTTTGGAGGATCAAGCACTTTTATAATTGCAAAGCACTGAGGATATGATTGGACATTGATAAGTGTGAAATATTTGATTATTGGGACTATTGATGCAGGACGTTTACTGTTTATTCTCATTTGTGTGTTTACTTATATAGTTCGTTTTATTTCTGACCGCAGTGCACCTTAAGATTAGAGTCATTGGGTGGACGTTTTTTAGGTATGGGTAGGGTGTGCGGTAGGAATGCGGATTGTATATTTTACATTTTATGTAATAAATTGATGACATTCAATCAATATTCAGTTCAATCATTTACCATTTATTTACTTAAATAGCCAAATTAATAGTCCTAAATGACATCCATCAACCGTAATGTTTTGGTTGTTGAGAAAATAGAAGTCATGCCACAAAATGATATAATTTGCATCACTCTGGCAGGGATGTTGGCATTTGTATTTCCACGGTTTGTTAGTTAATGGCAATACTATGCATTATGCATCATTTGAAAAGCTTGGGTTGCGCATGCTTATATGCATTGTCATCCCTTCAAGCACTGGTGTCATGGTACTTCAAGGGTTACCATAAGTGTGATTACCAGTTGTCATTTTGGTAATGGAGCTGTACAAGTAACCTTACTAAACATGGTAGAAGAATCAAGAGCTGGAGAGAGTATTCCCCATCCAACAGCTACACATCCCAGATGCTCCTCCAAGGCTTGTTTAGACAATCAGGGTTATCCTGCTGGCTGCAAAGATTTGTTGATGGAACATGCTATGAACTTATGAGCGTTGAAATGGCCTCACTTGCGCCCCATGTGGACAACCTGCACAACTGCAACTGTACTATGTACAGTAGATGGGGCAGTAGTAGAGTATTGTTCCGCATGTCTGCGTCCGCCATCGAATAGTGCAGAAAGTTTAAGTGATACCTTTATTGGCCAACTAAAGTTATCAAAGATGAGACCGATCTGTAAACTACTCACTGGAATAGAGTGGTCTAAAAACTGTATTTGGTAAAGTTGCATCATTTCTGTAAAGGTTATAGATGTAATTTCTTCTATTCTTCAATGCTCTAAACATAGCATCTGCTACTACTTTAACCAAAACTGTATTACGAGGGGCTGCCATTGCTGACCTTCTCCTGAAAGTGCTAGTTGTCTGGCTGACATTTGCTTTAATACTGCAATACTGCGAACATGCAGCTTGCAGTATTGCAGCATCACAGTATTGTAAGGAAATCAGAAGTCCAAACTAATTGGCATATTTGAAGTTCAGTTAGTGTATTGAAGCCTTTGGATCAGCAAAACAGCATTAAAAAATGTGTTCAGCAGCAGCAGCCCAAGTATCTCAGTAGAGGTTTACATTAATGATAAATGGCTGATGACTAGAGTTTCAGCACTATGATATCTCTCTCCCTCTCTCTCTCTCTCCCCCCCCTCTCTCGCTCCCCCTCTCTCTATCTATCTCTCTCTCTCCCCCTTCCAGCATGTGGCATGCTGTAAGGGTTCTGTAGATCAAGAATAATGTGACTTGCAAATGTTCTGATTGGATGAGAAGCAGAAACATTCCTTTTATTGCATGTGAGGGTTCAAAATGATGAGAGGATTAGTTGTATGTGCTGTGATGTATGTAGATCCTGGATCATTCTAATACTGATAATATGCTGTGTGTGGGAAGAAAAAATCAGACAATTCTTACCAAATGTAATTACACAGCATAATTTTTCACCATTGTCAATGCTTTGACACTTAAAAAGGTAACAACATCCATCATTCACACATACACTGAGTGGCCAGATTATTATGACCACCCCATTAGTACTTCATTGGGCCACCTTTTGCCTTCAATTCTGCGGCGATTCTTCTTGGTATTGACTCCATGAGATGTTGAAAGGTGATGTGAGGAATCTGACACCATGTCTGATGAATAGCACTGTCCAGTTCTGTGAGATTTGATGGTTGTGGAACCAGCTGCCTGATGGCTCTTTCAACTTCGTCCCACAAATGCTCAATTGGATTGAGATCTGGTGATTGTGGGGGCCACCTAAGCAAGGTAAAGTCTCCCTCATGTTCTTGAAACCACTCCTGCACAATACGAGCACCGTGGCATGGTGCATTGTCTTGTTGGAAGAAGCCATCTCCATTGGGATACGCCATCAACATGATAGGATGAACTTGATCAGCAACGATACTTTGGTATGTTGTGCTATTCAGACATTGTTCAACACAAATTAAAGGGCACAAATTATGGCAGGAAAACATGCCCCAAACCATAACACTGCCCCCACCAGCTTGAAGGGTTGTACTCATGCATGTGGGGTGCATGCTTTCATACTGTTCCCGCCAAATTCTCACTCTGCCATCTACATGATGCAACTGGAAACGTGATTCATCGGACCACATGACTTTTTTCCAATGCTCAACTGTCCAATCCTTGTGTTCCTGTGCGAATTGGAGACGTTTTATCTTGTTAACTGCAGACAGCAAAGGTGTTCGAACAGGCCTTCAGCTTCCATATCCCATACGATGCAGTGTACGGCGAACAGTGCGTTCAGAGATCATTTGAGAGGATCCCTGATTAAGATCTGCAGTAATTTGATGCACTGTTGCCCTTCTGTTGTCTTGTACCAGTCTTGATGCTCTCCATTCTGCCCTAACATTGACTAATCGCTGACGGCCAATATTCGCACGTTCAGACCCAGATTTTCGGCTGACAGTCCAGTCTTTAAGCACTTTAACAACAGCTGCTCTTGAACATTTAACAAATTCTGCTGTTTTGCTGATACTCGCTCCATGGCTCCGAGCGCCAACAATCATCACATGTTCAAAGGCTGTTAAATTGCGTTGTTTACCCATAAACAACCTGCTTCCCTATTTATAATGGTCTGGCCCTCCAGCAACTTCAGCGCCAAATTATAGCTAATTTGCCTACAAACGTCAGGTGGTCATAATAATCTGGCCCCTCAGTATATACTGTTCAGTACACATAATGCAGTTACCCTATTGACTTTACCACTTCACAAGGAGGACAATGCACAAGGGGACAACGGGAAGCTGCTAAAAAAATGCCTCATTTGCTTTTCTTCTGGCATTGATTTCCCTAATTGTTATGAGTGTGGCTGGTTTGAATCAGAGTGATATGCATGCCGTCACATAAGATGCATTCATTAAAGTGTATGTGTAGTCTAAAGTGTTATATAGTTTTTGATAAAACCCCCCATCAGTTTATGTATTGCTGTCTGTGTCCCATTGGAGAGATTTCCATTACCTTCCTATTCTGAAGACACAACAGGTCTCCCCATTTAGAGATTTCTCTTTATTTTCTACTCTGGTGACAACTGTAAAATCGCTTAACAATGGCCACCAGGTAAAGAAGAAAACATGAGTCCACTTAGCAAGGGGCCAGCAATAGGAATTGGACAGGACATTCTGGACAAAGTTTGGAAAAAATGTTTGGGCTATTCATACTCTTTAAAGCTATGCCTATGGAGGCCAGTAGAATGAATATCTTTTATATGTATTCAGGAACAGTTTACATGGCATTGGTTAAGTTAAGGCAAGGGGGATGGAGGGAGTTCTTCTTCACTTCTACCATGAACCCCAAAAAACAAGGGGCTTATTAGTGATTTATTGCTATTGGGCAGAGGAGTGCTAATCATTCCATTATGTCCTAGTGGTCACGTGTTCAGCCAGAAATGCCGGGATACAACCTAAAATATGGAGCCATTTTGCCAAGTTGCTTACATCTGTTTGTGGTTATCAGCCTTTGGTGGGTTGTAGGCATGACATATTCTGTGGAGTACAGCTTTGGGATAGAGAGTGCCACGGATAAAAGCCTTAGGGCCCTTCTGCAGAATTTAACCCTGAGCCATAAAGCTCACACACAAATGTTCCTTTTAGCCTATGAGGTGATCATTTTTTAATGAAACAATAACACTTCCAGGGTTACTCACTAAAGGTGAAGAGTTTGGAGAAGGCAATAGAAGTGAACAATCTAGGACAACATGGCTGAACTGGAAAAATTCTTCAATTCAGCTCACTTTCCAGTACAGCTATGTTGTCCTAGATTGTTCACTTCTCCTGCCTTCCCCAAACTCTCCACCCTTTTGGGAATAAAACTGTTCATGCTTTTTAGCCTTTTAAATGAAAGCAAAATGTAAATGGAAAACACAGGGTAAAAAAGAGATATATACTGCTTTATTCTGTAATGCTCTAGAATGTGATGTGGATGCACAGCTGGTAAAAGGGAGCAGCCATGGATGGGCCCACTGACCCCCAGGAGCTGTGGCACCATTTGAACCCACTTTAGTTAAAATTGGAAATACATGGGATATTAAAGGGGAACTCCAAATCTAAAGGGAC